AATATCCTTGCTCATGACATTGAGGAGCCATGCACGCATCATGTAGTTACATCTATCCCACCGATTTGCTAATGTTGAATCTTCTATTAGTCTTTTGCGGAGTTCCAGTTATAAATCCAAGTTTGTTATTGACGGATAGTGTAATCATCGGGAATCTCCTCCATAGATCATAATTTTTTGATCCTTTAAGAACTTGGTTGACCAAAATAATGCTAGGGTTGTCTACATGATGCAAATAAAGCGGGTTACTCTAAGGATTATTTATAGGGTCCGTAAAATTGATTGGAACTAATGTTCCTTTGTTGGAAGTCTCCTCTTTCGATCCTTCCATTGTAAAAGAGAATAGATTAATGGGTTTGTTATGAAACCATGATAAAAAAGAAAAGTGTGAGAAATATTTTGTTTTTATATCATTATGTTTATGTTACAAAGGAACATTGGTTTAAATACAAAGGACTATACAACTCGTACTTTACATGAAGCAAGGAATTCCTAAAGTTTAGGTACCGATTTAGGAGAAAACATAGGTGCTAAAGATGAAAATAGTTGGCTAGGAAAATCCTTAGTTTAGGGGAACAAAATAGGAAAGGTATTTAATTCATATATATATATGAGAAATTTTATAATACTCAAAGAATAATTAATGGACATGTACAATAGTTATTCTATAGAGAGAGATAGACATAAAAAAGAGAGAGAAAATTAAAAAAATTAAGCTAAGGTGAAAATCTTCTTACCACTTTTGGTGGGTTTGGATGTAATTCTCTCTTTTTTTATGTGTATATCTCTCTCTAAGTGGATCCATTAAGTAACTACCGTACATGCCACTAGTTACGGTATTATATATATATATATTACCATATTTAGAATATATAGAATAAATGAAGAAAAAACTCACCTAAATTGTATGGAATATATCGAAGTAAATAGATAAATAAAAATTGTTATAAAATTGGTTCCAATAAATTCTATATATATATATGAATTATTAGTTTTTTTAGAAATTAACTATATATCCGCACACATAATACCGATTATTTTTTATTTATTTTTTTCATGCTCTAAAATATGTATTTTTAAATAATATTTTGAAAGAACCTTTCAATTATTCAAATATAAATTTTTGTGCTAATATTATTAATTATTTTGTTAATAAATATATATAAATCAAATAATTTCGCTCAATATATAGATTTGATTTTCATTAATCATTAGAAACAAAACTTCTACTCACACCACATCATATAAATCGTTAATCCTACATATATATCGGTTGTTTGACCGTAACGTAACATAAGTATCTAACTAATAAATGCTAATAGACCTTGGTTTTTACTATATCAGCATAATTTCTTACTCAATTTTCTATTTGTTTATTTAAAAAAATAAACTCTATTTACTTTTGGAATTCTATCGTATAATAATTAAATGGTGATAAATTATCAAAGGAGTAATCCGTACTGCTTGACCTAATTTCTATGCTTATACGGAACATTTAGAGAAAGAACGGAACAGAGCCCGTGATTTTGTAGAAAATAGAAAAAGAAATATTGTTCCTAGCAACAAAAAAAAAAAAAGAATAGTTCCTTATTCATCCTTCAAAGAGGAAACAAATAAGGATTCTTCGTGGACCTCGTGTTACGGAGCTGTCATCTCTCTTCACTGTTTTTATTGAAACTTGACAAAGCTTTTTGAAGCTGCCCACTAACAAATGATAAAAATATACCAATATAATCACATAGGTCCAACTAGGAAGATTCATTCATCCATTCATGGTCTATAAAATATGAGTTCTCTTTATTTTTGCCTAACAGTACACGACTTCTTTCTCTCTATCTTTAAAAATGTCACTTTTGGAAGAGGGTAACTGGAGCCTTTTAAAATACAAATAGGTTTTCACGCGTTGTGCTGCGGATGGAAGGTAACATGTAAAATTATTTTAGTTTAAAAATTTATATTAAATTATTAGTCAATCAAAATATATTGAAACATAGATTAAAAAAAATTTATTCAATTTTATTATTTTTATTAAAATTTTAAATTTAATTAATTATTAATTACTTTTTCATAATTTTTTTGCAAAAAAAAAAAGTATTTATTCTTATTTATTTGTTTCTTAACTAAAAACTTGTAATAACCTAAAACAAAAATCTAAAACTCCATGAATTTTTAACTAAAAATTTATTTTGTAAATTATTTTTCAAAAAATCTAATACAAATTCTATGAATTATATATATATATATATATATATATATATGCTACTATCATTTAAAAATTTTAAGAGTTCATCGCGTAAATTATATAGATTTATTTTTTAAAATAAAATAATCATATCTTAAAATTTTATTTAAAATCCATACATAGAGAATAATAAATAATATTTAAACAAAATAAAATTTTATTGGATGACAATCTTTATAAGAAATGACAAATTGAAGAAATAAATTTAAATAATAAAAATAATATAATTTAAAATATATGTTTATTTTAAAATATAAAAACATATCATTTTTTTTTCTCGTTAGACTGCATGAGAAAAAAATAGCATTTGACATTCCATAATATTTGCCTAAAAATATTTAGAAAAAACTTGAAAAAAAAATGTCTTGCTAAGAACCAAGCCCGCACGCACGGGCATGGAGGAGCAAACCCTATCAAGAAAGATTTTTTTAAGAAAAAAAAATTTGCAATTTCTACCAAGCTAGTGTTCAATGAAATCGTTGTCGAAAAATCATGTTTTTGGTTTCTAGCTTTCGAAAAGCCAAATTCAGTTTTATTTTTTTAAAAAAAAATAACTTACAATCACAAAAATAATGTCAAAAAACTATTTTAGAGTCTTAAATTTTATTTTAATGCATACAAAACACATAAAAATTTAAATCAAACTTAAAAAACTTAAAATATTTTTCGGATCCCGATCTACTTCTTCAAGCCATTTCATAACTTGTAACCACCACTAACAAATTGTATTCTTCAAGATAAACAAATTAGTGATAATATCAATAATAGATATGGCCGAAATGGCCCTCGCTTTTTCTCTCTCTCCTCTCTTCTTTCTCCTATAAGTATTCAAGGACCATATGGCAATACAAATAAAGTTTGGGATCAAATTTTTTATTTTTTTGACTAAAAACCCGAGAGATTAAAGTGCAAAAATACCAATAAACGAGTAAAAATAAATAGTAGAATTTAGTGACAATGATCAATGCAATTAGGTGTTGTGAATTAGTATTCTTTTTTTAGTGTTTTAATTAATAAAACTCTATAGCCCACAATCATTTATTAGGCGAGTCCAACATTGATTTTAATAATTAGTAGCTAATAGTTAAAAGAGTAGAAGAAAAAAAATGTTATTAAGACATATTAAATTTGCAACCACTATAAAAAATGAAAAATTAATTCTAAACTAAATATTGTCAATAATTAATTACAATACAAGTTAAATGTTCATTCATTGTTCGATTAGGGGCACACTTACTCAAGAATTCCTCACTCGCACAACAACAATACAAATTAAATGGGTCCTCACTCTTGGTTATTATATATGTATATTTTGTTTGCAATCCAACAAAATATAAATTTATTAACCGCCATAAATATATTTATTAACTCGTAAATATCTTGTTGTTGTTGCAAATTATATATTACTTGTATTAATTTTATGTAGTTGATGCGAAAATAACGATAGATAAATCATAAATTAGTCTCTCTTACTTTGAGAAATGAATTAATTAGTCCTTTTAATTTTTAAAAATAATTATTTAATTTTTTTAACTAGTATTGACCATGATTAATTTATTTTTTTATTTTTTAAAATGTTTTATTTTCTATTCAATCTTTTTCATATTTTTATCTATTTTTTTCTTTCCTATTTCTTAAAACAAGAAGAAAAAAAAAACTAGTCCATCTGATTTCGTAAGACAATAGCATTGCCTTTTTTTCCTTCCTTATTTTGTAAGAATGAGTAAATTGCTATTCTAGAGTAAATTATAAATTAGTCTCTCTTTCTTAGGAAAACAAATTAATTAGTCCATCCGATTTCAAAAACTAACGTTTTTGTCTTTTTTATTTTTTAAAATGTTTTTTTCTCATCAATCTTTTTCATATTTTTATATTTTTTTTCTTTTCTATTTCTTAAAACAAAAAGTAAAAAAAAAATTGAAAAGTAGAAAAAGGGACAAAAACATTAGTTTTTGAAATCAAATGGACTAATTAATTTTTTTACTAAGAAAGGACTAATTTATTCTATAATGACAATTTACTCATCCCTATGAAATAAGGAAGAAAAAAGGTAATGACAGCAGCATTAAATACTCTATAAGAAAAAAAAAGTGAATTGACAAAAAAGAACTAAAAAAGATAAAAAAAAGAAATCACTTAAGGGAATTATGGATTTTCACAAATCCACTTAGTGGTAATAAGTGTAATTAAAAGTGAAATAGAAAACCATTTATAACAAGAAGAAAAGAAAAAAGGTGAAATTACAAAAAAATGGTTAAAAAAGAAAATTAAAAAAATCAATCAAAGGCAATTGTAAATTTTCACAAATCCATCGAGTGACAATAATAATAATCAAAAACAAAAGAGAGGCTACTTATAACACAAAGGTCAAAAAAAAAAAAAAAAAAACTCAATCCACAATTCTAATGAGTGAAAGTGCCCCATGCCTTTTAGTTTTTTAATAAAATATGAGAATCGAAAAGGCCGAAACCCACCTCCAACACGCATCTTCCTCTGCCCTCCACACCCCATTATTTAATTGCTCAAGTACATGGCAACGTGAATGAGACTAGTACGAATCTAAAAACTTAATCAAATAATTGCCAAGATACTAACAAGGTGCGATATTTTTTATGAAGGACACGACCTTACCAAGGATTATTTATTTTTATTTATTTGTTAACATAAATAACAACGTTTTCTAACATTCGGTTGCTGCAGGTCAAAGGGACTATTTACCAAGATAGAAAACTTCTGGTCTGCAAAGTAGCTATCTTGGTCACATCAGATGATAAAAACCTTCCACGAAAGATAGAAGATCCATCCAGTTGCGACCCTGTGGTAGGCCAGCCACATCATCACAAGGAGCAGATATTTTATAGTGAACAAGAACTGACTTTACAATTATGCAAGGCTTGAGACACCTAACAAACCCGAGCACAAACCCAAGAGGCTGTCCAAATCTGTTGCTGTCGCAATTTAGTCCATTGCCATTTGCCACTTCATCTCCATAATAGGCGTATGATGGGAGGCAACTTACCAGGTCCTGCTGGCTAGGAACTCCTACTTGATTTCTCTTTGAATTGAGGCAACAGTTGCCCACTCTCACCAAACTTCCAATAGCGACAACGAAAACGACATGTTTTCGTAGTTCTGAACTTCCTTCACTCTTCTTTGGAGTGCGATACAGAGAGACAGTAAGAAAACAAGTCAACTTAAAAACGAGTTCACAGTAAATCAACCCCTCCCCACAAAAAATCTGATATGACGAAAATTAGCAAGCAAGCTACAAAAATGATTCACAAGTCAAATGCCATCACTGCCGGTATCGCTTACTGTCCAAACATGAGAAGGCTTTCTTGGTAGGCCACAATTTATGGCTCCTCATTTCACACAGCACTGATTGGCTAACGATAAGCATCCCTCACCAGGATCTTGGAACCCAGATAAGCATATACGTACTTGCAACATAAGATCTCATGAAACATCAGGAGATTCAGAAAAAGGAACAAAATCATTATCAAAAGGCTATAAACGTCCAGGAGGACCCAGACTCAGGAAACAATGTGCAAATTTGCAGGACCATGGCACTTTAAGTCTATACCTGTGAATATGAGGATTTTTTATTTATTTCTATTCAAGTATAAACAGCAGTCAGATGTCAAGTATGATACAGAAGGCTAGAATGAACAATTGTGGTGATTTGCTTTTGTGGTTTCAAAAATGGATCCTAACCTCACATTTGGTATTAACTACATATTCGCCTAGCCAAAATTCCCACGAGGGCTCCTATAAAACTGGGACAGTTCCATTTGGTTGCTGCATGGTTCCAAGTGATTGACCTACAAAAACATAGTCATCACCATCTACATAACTTTATCTCCATCTTCTTTGGACATTACACTAGCAATTGAATGGAAAAAGAAACAAGAAAGGAGTATAAATTACTATAAACACGCATTGGTCAAAGTGAGTATCATTGTGATGATAATAATAGAACAATAGAACAATCTTAAACATTGAAAATACTAATTTGTGCAACTTGAAAAACAGTTGCAGCTTTAACGCAGTAATCGTTCATGAACACAAATGCCAGACTACTAGCTAATAAGTTCAATTATGATTAGCATTTTTTTAACAAAGTTGTCTATAACTTTTCATTTTACTAACTGAGATCATGCCTGGAGTCAATAGCTGATTCAAAAATATGGAGCCTGCAAGTAAACAGTAGAAGAAATTAGTAGACTACCTGAGTTGCCTGCAAAAGAATAAGGCTTTGAAAGATATTTGCTTTGGAGCATTCCCATTGAAGCAGCCTGGGGCCTTATAATGTTATCAAGAGGATACTGATTTGAGAAGTTAGTCAAGGGTGGACTTCCTTCTGATTTATCCAGGCACATTTCTGAACTTTGTGCAAGAGCTTGATCATGTTGCTGCACAGAAGGATCTCTCTGCCTTGCAAAGTTTAAGTCAGTAGCTTCTAATTAAATAATTTGTGTTAGCCGCAACACTGAAAAGGTGTAATTTAAACAAAATATAAGATGGGCATTAAAGCTGTGGAAGTTTATAAAAGTCAAGGCGAAAAACTTCCAGAGTGTGCAATTTGATGCATCTGAAAGCAAACTGAACTTTTGGAACACAAAGTTCTAGCATGACACTACAGGTTCACTTGATGTAACTTGCCCTTCAGTACAACATTAGTAGTAAAATTAAAATGTAGGTTTCAACAGTTCAGAAATAATTATATGATGCACACTGGCAAGTAAAAAATAACATATCTCTTATTTTTCTTATTTTTAAGACAAGACAATTTACAACAGCCAAAGTTGAGCCACCAAAAGTGAGAAGACAACAGGTACAAACCTTATCATTGATCAGGACATCTGTTTGTGCATCTAAAGAACCCCTCTGAGATGAAGCCTGTAGTTGCATTATGCTTTCCTGTGAGATTTCTGAATTCACCATGTTATTATTAAGTCCCTCAGCAGCTGCTGCATGGTACAGATAGGCAACTGCTGACCGTAGACGAGTGTTCCTTTGAGAGTAATAAACTTTGGTAGCAAGGGGAACTGGAACATCTGATTTAATACCATGGATCATTATCCAATATCGAGAAAGCAGAGAGCATCCAAAGTCAAGAATCAAAAGGGTTCAGACAACTCCACAGAGAAGATGGTCACTAGATGCAGCAAAAGAATACTTTTAGCAAGCAGGCAATGCTAATGGGCTTGCAAATGGTATTTAGAGACACAAGCATAGTCATTAGGCTTGTCACTTCCTGATTTTGATTGTGCTTGAAGATCTCCACGTGGACAATAGATAGAAAATAACAACTTCATGAGTACACCATGCATTCAGCAGCAGCACAAGCATCTAGACCAGTTCCATTTCAGCTCAGGTGAGTCACGAATATTTACGTGATCGCATGATTATCGTTGGTGGCATGATGGGAATAAGAACACTGTTTTAAATGTCAAAAACTAAAGTTTCCACCTATTGTGCAGTCCATTTTCTGGTTGTAAATTGAATGTTGAAAAGATTTAAGATTCTCTGTTTCCCTTCGGTTCTACTCCTTTTCCTCTGGTGCAAGGGAAAGAAATAGATGTTCAACTTGTCTAAAATATGTATTTGGTACCAAAAATTTACAGAAATGAAAATCCAACATTGTGCTTTCCTAAAACAAAATTCACACCTACTGCAATTAAGGACTAGCCTACCAGATACCTTGGATAAAGAGAATGAAAACTTCACAAGGATAGAGAATAGCAAGTGTACACCAAATCAGTAAATAGAGTGCAAGGAAGTTGCAAAAGTCAAGAAACCCAATTCTAAATTTTCTTTTAAAGAAAAAGATGTGAAAAAAAAAGGTGGTTTGTTCCACGCTTGGAAAAAATAAGAGAAAAGGAGAACGAGAAGAGAAAAAAAATGTGGCCTTACAGGTAAATGGATCCACTGTGCTTGTAGCTTTTGTTAAGCCAGAAGCTGTTTCTGGATCATCTGATCGTGGTCGATGCTCACTTGATATGCTACACAAACAAAAAACAACGGATCGTGTGATCGAAACCAGTATCAAATTTCACAAGATTGTCATAAGTAGCTGGCATAGAGGATGATTTAATAGATAAGCTTGAATATTTTTGGCAGAATGCCGTGTCTGAATTTCACACAACTCTCAACTTGGGCACTTAGTAAAGAAGCACTCACTTCACAAGAAGCTTAATCCCAAAGATAATTGTATAGCCACAAAACCACTACCCTTTCTCTTTTAATCATTAGGCAAAACAAGTTCTAAGAAAATATAATAACCACCCTTCCCTAAACGAAAGTCTCTAAGCATGAGCAAATGATTGCACACAAGTGCAATGGCAATGAAGAGGATTAAGGAGATTAATGAAAACAATGAGAAAGCCAATGCAGAATACGATATTCAAAATTCATAAAGAATCATGGACAATATTTAAGATACCTGAAAATATGCAGATAACACTATTTAAAGCAATCACATGCCATAAAGTACAAGAAAGCATACGATTTATGGCGTTTTGTTGGAGGTGGCATTACACAGGCTGAGTAGTCTGTATTCTCAGGACTCACACCTTTTCCATCCATCATAGATGCCACATCTATAGAAGCAGAATTTCCTAATGGACAAAGGAAAGCAAAGAATCAAATAAATTCAAACAGGATAGTATTCATGTGTGTGTCTATTGCAAACACAAACCTGTCTACGGATGAGACAAGATTGAAACATTACTTGTTTAAGTTTTCCAAAAGGGGGAAAAAACCCCAATTGAATGAAGAACCAACATCGTCCCAGCCATATGGGATTTTTGCCTAGCTAGCTTCGATTCATTAATTATATTATAAAAGTATCATACAAGAGGACCTCCTTTTCAAGGAAAACCACTGGGATGCACCTTGGGATAAAAGGACTGGTTTCCAGATCATATCTACCAGGTTCTTTTTTCATTAACCCAAACTCAAGTACCAGCACTAGAGAATGCAATCAGGCTACTCAAGAGAGAAGAAGTTTCACCCAATGATCTTGCATCACATGGCGGATAAAAGAGAAGACGGACTATCTGATTTCTTTCTTGAAAAATGTAATTAAACGACAGTTTATCCTCTCTCACAAAGCAAATTACACAACCTCTTACAATGATACAGACACCTGAGGGTATGAAACTACACCTATAGTCATCAAACAATGATCGATTCCCCCTATGTATTCAAACTGAGTGCCAATAGACATGCTACCAAATGACAATAATTCCAGGCAAAAGTGAGCACTGAACAAAGTAGTCTTATTAGTTAATGCAAATGATACCTAGTAAGCACTGAGCATCAGATACATCAAAGATTAGCCATTAGACCCATTACAAACAGGAATAGACGGAACACAAAATCTTGGGTCAAAGACGATAGGAGCACTTCCAATTTTTAGTGCAATTTCAATAAAACTGACAACTAACCAAGGTTGAGGCAACACAACAAGAAAATTTGCTGGAAAGAAGAAACAAGAATGTAATCCACAGAAATATAAATTCACATCAAGGTTTGTCACAGAAATCAAAAAGGCCAATTTTCATACTTCGAAGATAGAGCAATAAAGAAGGAAATATTGGGGCTAAGACACCAACAACTGTATGTAGAGAATGTAACATCATTCATATGCCAACCAAGAGACTTGCAACACTTAAAATCAGAACGTATCGCCTAACTAAGGACTGTCAGTGACACCCAAGTTACTTACAGCTGAAAGAAAAAATACTTGAAATAATTGCTCGTTGATTTTGATATATAAGATGCAAAAGGAGATTAAATAAAGATAGCAAAAATGACTTACTTTTTGGACCCAAGGAGAAGGAAGAAGGCATTCTAGGTTGCCCATCCAACTGAGATTCTGATGCAACAGTATCATCTGGAACTATAGATTCAGACCTTTGTCGTCCCCCAACTGGTGTAATTTGGTCTAAGCAAAGTTAAGAACTAAACCACTAGCCTGTATAAAAAACAAAATAAAAGTAGCACCCTTTGAAACAATAGGCAAAACTAAAATACCAACATTGTTCAAACTTATAACAGTTAATTGGAAAAACCATTGTCTCTTTGCATTTTACCCCCCAGGTAAAGTAATAGTAGCATTGCAACACAGCCAGCTGAATGAACACCAAATAGGGATTTAAACTAGATTTTTGATGTTTCAAAGTAGAAGCAACATAAAATAGAGGATACTAGAATAGGCAGTTAATAACTTTCTCCTCTCCTTCCTCGGAGGTTTTCGGCGTCCAGTTCCACCATCAGGCTCCAAGGTTATTTCTTCTGCAGGAATTAAGAACCTACAAAGCTCTGGAAAGAATAAAACAAAAAAGAAACCTAACTCAGTTAAGCATTAGCAGTGCCAGACTTGAAGGGTTATACCTAACTATTGAAGGCAGGCAATCAATTAATCAATAACACATATGCACCAGTTGAAGAAACAGTTACTCCCAAAAGTACATATTCATGCCATCTAGATTAGACAAACAGTTGGCTAGCAACATCTGTTCCTTCAAGAGTTTAAAGTTTGGACCAAAACACTGTTATCAAGTTGACTAACACTCATCTGGAAGAGACAGCAAATAAAACCTATTCAAAGATTGTGATATTTCATCATTTGGTTTCAATCACTATCATGCTACACCCTGATTTGACCACTCAGTGAGGCAAAGAACATATTACAAACTCATTGCTATTTGGAGTATTGAGGAAAGCATCTACAAGGACTCCAAAGGAAGTCCTAACTTGCATTTGTGCAGATCAAGCAAAGCTGTATTTTTTAATTTTATTTTTTTGAGAGGAATAAACAGTGATAATGCTGACGTCTAGTGCATTATGGAGGAGATGATGTCGATAACAGACAATGCAAAGATGATAAAAGCACTGACATTTAGTCTATCGTGTTCATAACTTCATATTATTGTGCTGTAGCAACATATATTGCCAAGCAGCATGATCCATCAACCACACGAAAGGTTATTCATCATGGATCAACGCAGCGGGAGAATGAAGCGCTTAACGGTCCTAATTAAGCACAAACATTGTCAACATCATTCCTAAGCACAAAAATTTTGTCTGCATCATTGTTTCTCATGTTTTCCAGCCACTTTAAAATGTTTTTATTCATTGCACGTAGCTCTATTATTTGAACAATACGCCACATCAACACCAATTGTTATAACTGCTAGAAGAATTAGGAAAAAAGGAAAGAGGAAAGAAAAAAAACTAAAAAGAGAAAACCTCAAAACCTGCATGAGCCGCATATTGGCTAACCTTCACTGGCTTCTTACAGGCATTGCAACATACCTTCACAGTGATATTGCAGAATGAGAAACATAATTTAGACATATAAGCACACCATTTGCATGTGAAAGGGGAATCAATGAGCTACAGTATTGTTTAAACAACCATTAAAAAGCTCAACATGTCAAACCTTACCAGGTCCAAAGGGTCAGTCATAGGCATCAAACCAAAAACATGCATATCTGCGAAAGGAAACAATTAAGCAACTAACAAAACGGAACACTAAGGACAAAACAAAGAAATTGACTAGGAAACTTATGCAAAGTGTGACAACTAAGACTTGACAATGCAGGCTGGTCATGGACTGTACAACATCCCTAATTTAGCAGTCCACGTATAATCTTAGTCTCTCCCTCCCAAAAGAAAAATGGTAGAACTTTCCCACATAATTGTAGTGCTAGGAGATTACCTTCTTCATCAAGTAAATTTGGTTCATCTGCCTCACGCAATTCTCTGCAAATATATCGAGCAGCTAATTTCAGCTGGCTAACCTCCTCTGCAAAAGATCGGAGATAATATGAGCATAAGAAACTTTAAGGGAAAAGAAGAAGGCAAATGAAACCCTAGCATATAAATTCAATCCCATTAACTTTTCAAAGTTAATTTCCGTGGGTAATCTAAGAAATTAAACTTGCATTAACACAACGGTCTAGGTCTACGCGGGCTCCAATGTTTTCTTCATAGGAGAACATTATGGATTTATCGTCTTATGTTTACCTGCAATATTTTGTGATAAATTTCCCGCAGCCAGAAGCCGAGCCATGACTGCCATTCTCCCATCTCCAATTGAGCATACCATTGATCCTAAAATACAATTCCTGTATCTATAAGCTGCAATTAATAACATAAATCAACTAAAACCCCTAAAATGATTACACATTTACAAAGGCACTGACTCATCTCTACCTACATTGCAAAAATCAACTCCAAATTTGCACAATAACAAGCTAAAAAATAATCTAAAAACACTAAATCAGAGTTTAGAACGCAGAAAAACACACATTGCAAGATCACACAAAATTCCCAGTGACATGCAATTCAACATATGCATGACAATTGAAATCATCCGCCCATGATGAGCAGCAAAACCTCTACATATCTAAAATCCACAACCCTAATTATCGCAGACGAAACAAAAATCAGAGTGTTAAATTTAAGAGAAGAAAAAAGAACCTCACCTCGAACCTGTACAAACAATTATCCGATGAGATAATTTTTAAATCGGCCAATTTTTTTTTTATGTGTGGATCTCGAAAATGCAAGTGCAGGCAATCGAGATTGATTAGAGAAGAAGAATAGATTTAGATTTTTGAGAGTAGAAACCCTAGACACAGAGAAGGAGGGAAAGAGAAAGGAAATTTACAGTTTCTTTTTATTTAAAAAAAACACTCTTTATATTTTCTTTTCTTGTTCTCCTCTCTCCTCTGTGAGAGGAGGAGAAGAGAAGCTGTGAATTTTGGAAAGCTAAAAATGGGGGAAATCGTCTCCGTAATTTTTTTTTTGGGGGTTATTATAGTATTTATCGTCAGCCAATTTTTTTCGATATATATTAATTAATTTCCATCAATTTTTAGGAATGACTGCATAAAAGTCTCCAACCTATAGTGTGTCCACAAACGGTCCCCAACTTTCAAAATGTTGCAAAACACTCCCAAACAGTTCACTTGTTTTTTCATTCATCCCTCTCGTAGGCAAATTTGGTTACTTTTACGTATTTCTCGATCGATTGATAGTCCTACGGAGAAAACTAGTTTTTTTATTCATGATATGCTCCAAGTTAGATAAAATTCATAAAATTATTTCATTTTGATGTCACATGTTATATTGCACATCTATCACAATATATCAAATCAAAACTAAATAAAAATTTATTTAATTTTATTATTTTTTAATCAAAATTTTATATTCAACTAATTATTCTTTATATTTTTATAAATTTTTTTTAAAATTATTTATTTACCTCTATCCATATTTTTAGCTAAAAACTTATTCCTTAAATTATTTTTTTCTATACATCTTTTTATCTTAAATTTTTTAATTAAAAAAATCAGAGAAAAAAGCAAGTAACAAAGTGACCAAAATCAAACAAAAAGGTGAGACTAAAATCAAATAAAAATATTTATGGATTAAAAACATAATATTAAAAAAAAAACTAAAGTGTAATGTCATAAAAAAAATTATATTAAATATCTTTAAAAAATATTTAAAAGCTACAAAAATACTAGCTAGTGAAAGGAATAATGCATCATGAATATTGAAAATGAGTGAAGAATATGTCAAATAATATAATGAATAGTAACCATGGTTTTAGTTTAGTTTTTTTGTAATTTGTTGACAACTCGATTTCTTTTACTTCCATTCATGTTTTCAATCAAGTTGGTGTTATTAATGTTTGGATGCTAAATTATTATAGAACTTGTAATTTGTTTTCTTTGAAACATTCAATATTTCAAAATAAATATTTTCATGAATTTTTTTTTTTTTTTTTTTTGAGAATTTGGAGTTTTGATGGAGGTATGATTGTTACAAATAAATCATTCTATTTTAAAAAAAAATATTTTTACAAAAAAATTCACACCTTTTCATTACAAAGGATATGTGCACTATCCTTTTTTTTATGAATCGGTCTGTACGCTAAAAAAAATAGTAAATTAGTCTATACCAACAATGTGCATAAGTTTTTTGTTAAAAAAAATTAAAGTTTCAAACTCTTTAGAAACATACAAATTTAATATTATGAACAAAGTTCATAAGAAGTTAAAGTTAAAGTTGTTATTAATTTATGCAAACACCCTTAATTAAAAAATAGAAAACTAGCTTCATTTCCCTAGTCTAGCCTATTTATATAATTTAATTAATAATCTCATGTTTATTTATTAATTTTAACTTTCATTTGATGAAATATATATTTTAATATCGATACTAATCTAATTTCAATTTTCTTAACTTCCTTGAACTCGAAGAGGTTGTTAACAGGGGAGACCCGTCTAAAATTTCTATTAGCTCCATAACAAAAAATAGACATAATCAAGACAATCAAAGATGTTAAATCCGTAACTTCAAAAGATAAAGTTTGATGTTTAAAAAGGTGAATTATAAATTAGTCACTTTATTTATAAAAAAAATTAACTAATTTTTTTAAAAGAACTAATCATTTAGTCTCTCAATTGATTAATCTTTTTTGTTTGAAAACTAATTATTTAGTCTCTCAATTAATTAATTTTTTTTAAAAAAAATTAATTGTTTAGTCACTTAATAGGTATCAATCTTAATTTAATTGTATTTTACTCAAAACATGTCATCTTTTATCGTAATCCTTTTATATATTTTACTTATTTTGTTTCATTTTTCTGTTTCTTAAAAAAAATCAAGATAAAATGAAAAACTAGGAAAAGAATTAAATTGTTGCTATAAAATAATGAATGTCCATTTGAATATTCATATACTTTTCATATCCTTACTACCACAATTCTTAACGTGATTCAATTCATCATTCAATATGAGAAATTGAAAGGGTGATGCAATTGATTCAACAATTTATGTACTTTTAATTATTCATAGTCCCTTCAAATTCTCATCTCACTTTTGAAGCCTATAAATAGGCTTGATTATTCATTAGTCGATATACAAGTATTTTGTAGAGATTTATAGACTATTTGGAGTTTTTATCTCTTGTATTCATTTTATTTTATAATGAATTTATTTTCCTATCGTCTTTCTCTTCAATTATACTATTGTTACTATTTCTTTCATAATACGTTATCGAGCACAAAACTTTAACCAATCGAAATAATAGACCATAAGGTATGTATCTATCAAAAGACTTAATCATTTGTTTCAACCATTGGATTTCTTATACACAAGTGCTCTACCAAAAAATCTAAATTATTTAGATCATTAAGACGTATGTATCTAATTTATCATGTACTTTAAATCTAATGATACATAGAATATACATTTAAAAAACTTAAACTATTTAATATCTAAAATCTAATAAATATTTTTTGAAAAATTTAAATTTTATTATTATGTTTGTTTTTATTTTTATTTTCTAAAATTATTATTATACTTTGTATTATAAAATTTGTATGATATTAACCCTTACAAAACTTGATTTTGTGGCCCTTGACATTTAGGGCAAGAATTATTGATCATGAGTGCTTGATATTGAGTACATATTCTTTACTTTTCATATCTCAAATATGCTCCCGTAGTAGCATATCGAGAAAACGAGTTTAAGAAATATTCCGAATTGATTTCATACGTGTTCATGGTTAAATAAGATAACAAGATATTGATGAAAAAGAATAAATATTGTCCAACTAGATTTACTCTATTCCCCGAAGTGAACGAGATAACTTATAATAATTTCGGGCATGGACGAATATGTGATTATAGCCATGGACGTAATCGGAATAATTATCTTTATAATCATAATGACTATAATAATATATATCACCACAAGAAGTGGACAACTATAAAAAAAAATAAGAAAAGGATAAAAATGGATCAAGTCGGTATTCTAAAAATGAATATTATAGATGTGGCATGAATGAACATTGGTCGTATACCTATCATACACTAAAGGATCTTATTGAGCCTTATCAAGTCTAGTTGAAAAAGAAAAGACTAAAATATAGAGATCAATTTTAAATATTAAAATGGAGGTAATTAAAATTAATAACTTGTTATATTTTCTATTTATAAATAAAATGGTTTATATTTTCTATTACATAGAGATATTTATAAATTTATTTATTTATTTGTGTTTATGAAGAATTTATTTATTTATTTATTTTGGATTTATTTATTTAATTATTTATTTTGTGTTAATATTATATTTAATAATATCAATTTAACAAAGCTCTAGAAGAGCGATTATATTATTACTCGAAGAGATAGCTTTTAAAGGCTATAAAAGAGCAAATATATTATTACTTGAAGTGACATAATTTAAAGGCTTCGAAGGGCAAATATGTTATTATCTAAAAGGACAAATGTTATTATAAATAATGTATTATTTTTTCTAAAGTCTCATAGAAATTTATTGAGTTTTAAAGATGTTAATTTAAATTGATATCATATCAAGATAGCCAATGTAAAAAATATTGAATACTTATATATTAATTATATCGGTAGAAAATATGTATTGAAAAATTTACTCATATTTTCTTTTAATCTTTATTACAAACATTAGAATGATTGAAATAAATACGGTAGTAAATCGAAATTTTACTAATTCAAATACTTTTATTATGTGGCATGACCAATTGTTTTATCTTGCATCTTTCAAGATGCAAAAATTATTAAAAATTCATATAGACACCTATTGAAAAGCCAAAAGATTCTTCAATATAATGAATTTTCATGCTCGCATGTTTTCAAAGCAAATTGATTATTAAGTCATTACTAAGTAAAATTAAGATTGAATCTTATATTTATTATCCACTCGAAACTTGATGTTTTTTAGATTATCGACCCAAATAATTTAATTACAAGCATAATTTCTAAATTATACCATTAAAACAATTCACCTTGATGATGCTCGATGAATTTATCTCTTGAGCATTAAATGATTATTGATTAGCTATTAGAATAAAGGTTGAACATCATGTTGCTCATTTTCATACTAAAAAAAGGTTTAGCAAAATTATTTATCAAAAGGCTCTAATTGATAGCTAAACCATTATTTAAAAATAAAACTTCCCGTTTATGTTTAGGGACATACAATCTTACATACAACAACACTTATTCGTATCAAATCCATAAATT